TGCATGAGAATAAAAATCATTACTCAGTTAATAAAATTGATTAGTTCACTGCAACATCTAAAATGGTTTGAACTAAGACACTTTGATTATCAACATTTGTAAAATAGTAATGATAATAAAAAGAGAGTGTTCTTTTCACTTGAATCTTCAAGAAAGAAAGTCTCAGGATGGGTGAACCTGTATTTATGGATTCAAATACATGAAATGACAGCTTCTGTCCCACAAGGTTCTTAAGGTCAAGAGTTTTGACCTTAGACTTAGTTTTGACGTAGGCCTAGTCCACTACATGATTCATGACATCACTTAAGCCCCACCTACTGAGAGAAAAAACTGTTGATTATTGGACGACACTTCCAGCTTCGCACTGTGTAAGATATTAGACTGAAACTTTGTTCGCTAACTGTTGATTCCACATGACATGTTGAAAAGCATAAAGGAAGTGCTTGTCAAACATTCGCAATAAAACAGGAAGTCACCATAACTCCTGTCTGGAAGGACAGATTGCACGTATACTTGTAAAACCTGCAGCTGGACCAGTAACGAGATGGATGGAAGGCCATGTTGAAGATTCGGGAAATGCGCCCCATGGTGAACGCGTGCAGGATTGGCACAAGAGCATTCACAATGGCGACTGGGTGGACTAACTGGAGCTCCCGCGGTCGCCGAAAGGCTGGAGCGGCGCTTTGCTGCGAGGGCCTCCAATGTTGCTTGCAGCTTTATTTTTATTTTTGGAACTGCGCCTGCACTTTAGTTTTTGTGGTGGATTTTGTTCATCTATATTTTGTGCAGACTTTTTCAGTCTGAAGTCAGAAGGGTCATTTTTATTTTTATACTTTGAGACTGAATACTAAATAAAGTAATTGCAGTAAAATGAACCCTTGTTTGTTTGTTGTTGTTGTTTTTATATAATACTGCGATGCAACAAGTTCATTTTGTCAAATCAATAACTATGATTTCTGTTTTTTTTTGTTATATCATGAAATTTATCGTTATCGTCAGAATGCTCTGAAACATCACGATATTATAATTGGGCCATATTGCCCACCCCTAGTAGTATTAAAGCGAGCCCTGCTGTTCCCACCATGAGAAACGTCCTGTCTGCAGATTTTGCAAGTTTCTGCTTGATCATCGTTGTTTTCCAAAGAAAAGTGTTCCCACACCGCGGACATGCTTGCATAGTGTTGTATCTTGACGGCATTGTAAAGCGTGATGATGCTGAAAACTGATGCGAAAACTGGATCGGCCCGATCACGTGACTAAATCCAATTCTACCCGATTCTCAAAAAATGGCCATATCAGCAACCGATACCGAGTATCTGATCGGGACATCCCTAGTCTCCATCATCGAGTTCAACCTTGCTGTGAGGAGGAAACACCATCAGCAGCATCAGAGGATGCAGGTGAAGAAGCTCAATCACACCCATCCTCCCTCGCCCAGAAATCCTACTGGTTGTAGCTGGAGTTGCGGTGGAATGCAGTGTACGTAACAGATGTGCCGTCAGCTTTGTGTGGGCATGATGAGATTGTAGAACAAGCATGAGGTCAGTGTGGCCAGCTTTTACATTCTCCCAGACTGAGCTGAGCCCCACGCCATAGATATGTTGCTGCCCCAATAATAAACCCCCACCGCCTCACCCTGCCACACTTACCACTGCCCTGGAGACCTCCATCAGACCCTGCAAAGACCATGCACATTCTGGCTGACTTTAACATCACAGTGGGATCTTCATCCAGTGCAACACAGTTCCATATGACATTGGTGAGGGAAGGGTCATCTTAAACCAGGTATACTTCACCCTCACCTGGAAGCCCCCTGCTGCCATATGCAGCTGTTCATCCAGATTCTGGTTGTGTCATTTCTCCGCTTCATCAAGTTCAAGATTCTTTGTCATTCGCATCACACGTGGTGCATGAAGTAGAACAAAATTGTGTACTCAAGGTCCCAGTTACACCCAACAATAACAAAAATACAAAGTATAAAAAGAGTATATAAGGATTTAAGATATACGCTAAATGAACGTTAAACAATACGCTAAAAGGTCTAAGATATGCGCTAAACACTAATAATGTAAAATAATATGGGATATTAAACAGCAGCCCGATGCAGCTCATGTTTTTGTTTCAACATTCAAGCTTTACTATAACACAAATTGTTTTGACTGATCACCTTATCAGTGTCTGTCTCATGGATCAGGTGTTTGGCCTCATTGTCTGCATGGTCCACTTCTCCTGGTAAAACCCATTGAGCCACTTCAGCAGCATCTAGGAAGCTGTCCTGCACAGAACACAAGACAGACAAATGCAGTTTTTTGGTTTATTTATATAGCACCAAGTCACAACAGAAGTTGTCTAAGTGAATGTACAAACACATTCACATACATTATAAAAGACAAATAGTAAAGTTATCTAAGGAAGCCAGCAGACTCGTTGAATCTTCATTTCATCATAGTCACCTATCCTGAGCAAGAACAAAGGAGACAGTGGCAAGGAAAAACTCAAGATTCAGAGTACTGGTTCAAGCACTGAACCCTGAGGAACTCCATGACTAACTTGGCATATGAAGAAGATTCATTATTTACATTTACAAACTGGAATCTATCAAATAAATAGGATTATCTCATTTTAGAGTTGTTCCTGTAATCCATATATCATATTCAAGACTTTGTAGCAGAATATTGCATAGTGCTTTTTGAATACATACATTCTTATATGTTAGCAGACTATCTTTCCAAGTTAAATAAAATTCTTCAACATTAGTAGAGCGCCATTTTCTCTCCTGGTTTCTAGATGCTGCTTTAAAGTACGTAACTCAGAATTGAACCAAGGAGCCAGTTTCCTCTGACTGATTACTTTCTTTTTCAGTGGAGCAATTTTATCAAGTGAAGTTTGCATTGAAGTTGTAAGATGATCAACTAGATGATCTAAGTCTCTGATCTCTGATGCATTACTCTGCAAGACAGAGGAAAACATTGATGGAAGAGATTGTTTAAATTTGGTTACAGCATTTTCTGATAAGCACCTGCTGAGATGAAATTTACTCTCAGTGACTGTGTAGTCATTTAATGTAAACTCAAAGGTTATTAAAAAATGGTTGGACAGAACAGGATTTTGAGGAACTATTACCAAGTCCTTAATCTCTACACCATAGGTCAGAACCAGGTCAAGATAAGACAACAGAACTTTAATGATCCTGCAAAAAATTGTTGGAGTGTGATGATAATGAGTAGATGTGTAGCTGTTTAGAGTAAAACCAATTGACAATTGGCTGAGGCTGAGTGGTTAGAGCAGTCGTCCTCCAATGCAAGAGTTGGGGGGTCAAATCCACCAGCAGTCACATGCCAAAGTGTCCCTGGGCAAGACACTGAACCTCTCGTTGCCTCCAATGTGTGTCCCATCAGTGTATGAATGTGATGAAGCACTGATTAGTCTCTTTAGAATGATTTGTTCAATTATCTTTGTACAGATCTAGTAGAGTGCTGTATGTATGTATGTGCTGTTCTAGAATTGTGCCGCTCCAGGTGGCTGCATGTTGGAGCAGCTCTGTTACTTTCATTCTGAGATTTTGCTTTTGGAAACTTTAATTCCACTTTTTGGGATGTAAATCACATTTTTTGGATGATTGTTTCCTCTGGTATCAGATGCTGTGCAGCTGGAAGGATTTTTACTGAAACTTTTTTAGTTTTGGACATTTGTTATGATGCGTAACCATGGCAACAAGGCAGTTTTCTACAACCAACAGCAGCTGATTAACATCTCAAAAGCTCAAATAATATCTCAACTACAGCCCCAAATCTCAAATGAGTTGAAAAGGATGTTCTGTGGACGCATTCTCATCTACCTGCCAGCTGTGCTCAAGTGCCTGACCACTGAGATCCTGGAACTAGAAGGAAACACGGCTCATGACAGTGGAAGGACAGGATCATCACTCGGCACCTACAGTTGGCTGTCCGCAGCGATGAGGAGCTTGGCAGACTGCTGGGAGGAGTGGCCATCGCTCTGGGAGGAGTTCTGTCCAGCATTCAGGCGGTCCTACAGCCCGGGGGAACCGAGAGGCCAGCCGAGTCTGGGTGGACGGATCGGACGGCATCTGCAGCCAGTTTCTTAGGATCCACTGTGGGATGGACCTTTACAAGAGATCCTTCCTGTCTACAGCATCAGTATCTATAACATCTCTTAATGAAATGAGGATAACGAGTTACAACAACAAATAATTTCCCTCTGGGATTAATAAAGTATTTCTGCATTGAATTGTATGAATGGGTAAATGAGGCACAGATTGTTGTAAAGTGCTTTGAGTATCTTTATAAGATAGAAAGGTGGTATATAAGTGCAGTCCACATACCATTTATCAATACTATTAAATTATTAAAGGCTATGCTTAAGCTATCACTTTCAACATCCACATGAATATTGAAATCACCCATTATGATGATTTTATCAGTATTTAATAGTAAGTCAGTTAAGAATTCTGAGAATTCAGACATAAACTGAGAGTAAGCTCCTGGTGGACGATATATAACAACTAGTAAAAGTGGCTTTTCTGATTTCCATTTTGGATGAGAAAGACTGAGGGACAGTGATTCAAAAGAATCATAACTAATAACTGGTTTGGCATTAATCAATAATCCTGACTGAAAAATAGAAGCTACTCCTCCACCTCGGCCACTTGTTCTAGGAACATGAACATTTAAATAATTAACAGGAGTGGATTCATTTATTGTTTGTTTTTTTAAATAAGATTTTTATAATTTATTTTTCTAGAGCTGATGTTTGATTTATTTAACCCTTGTGTTGTCTTATCGGTCAAAAGTGACCCACTACCATGTTTAACTGTAGAAAATTTTCCAACTTGAAATTTTATGACTTTTCCTAAAGGACCCCATCATTAGAAAAAGTGACACTTTGTTTTTGTTTCCATGTGTGCTGTACACCACTGGGGTACAAAGATTGTCTTATGGGTCATTTTGACCTGTGAATTATTAAAGCATTTAAACACCAGAAAAAGTTCAAAGGCCACACACACACACACACACACAAGAAACTGGAACTTGCATTTGACCTGTACTCTAGATCTGCAGCTATGCCTGGAATATGCAAATGTACACAGGGCAGCTGCCGAGTGGAGCACCTGAGAAGAACCTGGGGGTGCAGGTTGTGCTTGAATTGACAATTGGACTGAGGGGGCACAATGTCATGTGACCAATTTTTCACCTCCTATGAACTCGGCCAGCAGTTCCCGAAAAGGAAGATGACCACGGTTGGAACTGTTTCAAAGAATAATCCTGAACTTCCCCATGCATTCATTATTCTAGAATTGCGCCGCTCAAGGTGGCTGCATGTTGGAGCAGCTCTGTTACTTTCATTCTGAGATTTTGCTTTTGGAAACTTTAATTCCTCTTTTTCTGGATGTAAATCACAATTTTTTTGGATGATTGTTTCCTCTGGTATCAGATGCTGTGCAGCTGGAAGGATTTTTACTGAAACTTTTTTTTAGTTTTGGACATTTGTTATGATGCGTAACCATGGCAACAAGGCAGTTTTCTACAACCAACAGCAGCTGATTAACATCTCAAAAGCTGAAACAATATCTCAACTATGGCCCCAACTCTCAAATGAGTTGAAAAGGATGTTCTATGGACGCATTCTCATCTACCTGCCAGCTGTGCTCGAGTGCCTGACCACTGAGATCCTGGAACTAGCAGGAAACATGGCTCATGACAGCAGAAGAACAGGATCGTCCCTCGGCACCTACAGTTGGCTGTCCGCAGCGACGAGGAGCTCGGCAGACTTCTGGGAGGAGTGGCCATCGCTCTGGGAGGAGTTCTGCCCAGCATTCGGGCTGTCCTACAGCCCGGGGGAACCGAGAGGCCAGCCGAGTCTGGGTGGACGGATCGGACGGCATCTGCAGCCAGTTTCTTAGGATCCACTGTGAGATGGACCTTTACAAGTGATCCTTCCTGTTTACAGCCATCAGTATCTATAACATCTCTTAATGAAATGAGGATAACGAGTTACAACAACAAAATAAATTTCCCTCTGGGATTAATAAAGTATTTTTGAATTGAATTGAATGCGCTCCTCGCAACAAGAGGCAGAGCGGTCTTCTCATCAACGTTTGCCTTCGCTCCCACCACCACTCGTTTTTTATCTTCCAAAAAGGAACAAGAACGTGGCCCTGCTGAGCACACTGCACAAGACAGCTGAAATCAGTGATCATGAGGACAAGAAGCCAGCCATCATCCTCGACAATAACTGTAGTAAAGGAGGCATGGACAACCTCGATAAGATTATTGGAACATACAGCTGCAGAAGGATGGCTGCACGCTGGCCCCTGGTCATCTTCCATAACATCATTGATGTATCCTCATATAATGCCTTTGTGATGTGGCAGGAGATCAACCAGACCTGGATGTCAGGGAAGACAATCAAGAGAAGGATGTTCCTTGAGCAGTTGAGAAAGGCTCTTGTCACCCCGTGCATTGAGAGAAGAGAGTGCCTGCCCCTCACAGAAGCCTCTGCAGCAATTGTGGGAGCTGAACCTTGTCCTGGTCCACCTGAGGCTGCAGCTGGGTCAGTCAAAAGAAAAAAAGTGTCAGTTCTGTCCCTGGAAGAAGGACTGAAAGACAAAAGCTGTGTGCTGCACATGTGAGAAATAAATCTGCAAAGCCCATTCTCACGTTGCACATACTGTCCTGCATGTGCTAAATAGAGTCGATGTTGAAAACTGTTAACAAAATCAAGCAACAATTTGTTGTTTTGTTGTGTTATGAGAGTATTTTTATAATTTACTTCCTAAGGGTGCATTCACACCAGCCCTGTTTAGTCCGCTTTAATCGAACTCTAGTTCGTTTTCCTAGAAAGTCCGGTTCGTTTGGGGAGGTGTGAACGCACCATTGAACTCTGTCACGGAACAAAAATGCGAACTCTGGCCCGGGCTAAAACCTAGGTCTCGGTCCGGTAGAAGAGAACTCCAGCGCGGTTCCAGTACAGTGTGAATGTAAACAGACCGGGCCCCGCTCCACAGGGTAAACAAACACGCATTGCTCTTACCTCATATGGAGCCGTCAGCTGCCTTGTGTAGAAAAACAACATTCTCCATGGTCTTCTGTCTCATCTTCTGCTCATGCTGAGTCCATTTTTGAAACATGACAAAATATAACTCCTAAAACTGCCAAAATTTGAAGCCACTTCGTTTTCATTTTTATTTACAGAAGAAGAAGAAGACGTGTCTTCAGAGGTTTTTGTGTAGTTTCTTTCAGTAGTTCTTGGTGCAGC